TAGTTTTATTTTCTCAGTATCTATAGTCACGTTTACCGGCAAGACTTGAAATACTAAAGTCTCTTGGGTGTAATTTGTGAATAATTTAAAGTAATCATGTTAAAAATTAGACTCTTAAAAAAAATTAGACTCTTGCATCAATAAATGTTTAAGCGGTTTATTTGTTCACCGGGACACTAAGAAGGGGCTGAGGAGACAAGATACAAGGAGCATAATTAGAAAGACTGAGGCAGCAGACAGGGAGGCAAGTGAGTTGGTAGCTGAAGGTCAAGATTCCAGGGTTTCAGAAATGCAGAACTTTGGAGTCAGGGCAAGTTCTAGGTACAAGCCTCATTGCATGAGCAATGACAGCAGAGAAGAGGCCACACTGAATGATACACAAGAGAAGCACAAGAAGAGGAACCAAAATCCAGTTTGACTGAACCTAATTCACCCTGATCATGGATACTGTGTCATGAAGCAATTCAAGTAAAGTGACTAGCCAAGCACTAGCCAAGCAGTGACAACGAACCACACTGTGGCCACGATTCACCTGGACAGATTTCTACTATTTCAACTTTGAAAATAACATTTGTCTCAAAGACTATAGTCAACGACAGTGGAGAGGAATGATAATGCAAAAAAAAAAAAAAATTTTTTTTGGCTCCTTAATTCTATCAGTCATAGACTTCACTGGCTAAACAAGGAGGGAAGGCTGCCTTTTGACGGATTAGATTGTGTCCCTCTAGTCACAGTGTAAGGGACTGTAGCTATGTCTTTCTTATATGGGGCCAACCAGACTGGTGTCATGCAAAAACAGAGGAAATCACTCCATATTAATCTCTTGTTTTACTAGGTGAGGAGATAATGACTTGAACCAAATCCATTTCATTTAAAAAAGACAACTGTGTGATTTTTCTCAGGGTCTTTTACCTAATTTAAGTATTTCTTAATTGACTTCACGCTATGGGCGTACAATTCTTTTCATGGCTGTAAACATAAGTATGAGCACTGAAATGCAAATATTTCTGGTAATTCTGGAATATTAATGGAACTTTATACATACATACTGGTATTAAGAACAAACATGAACAAGAAAACGATACATTCGGGATAATTCCATCACAAAAACCCTTTGGTACCCAGAAGGCAAAAAAAGAGAACCGATAAATTGCTTAACTTCCTACCTATCAGTTTGAGAGCATACAAGAGTGCTCCTACCTGCTAGCAAACACACCACAATTAAATATAAGATTCAAGACCTTCAAAAAATATTTAAGGCCAGTTCTGTAACTTTGTGGAAGGACTTGGACAATAACGTAAATGCTATTGATGTATATACTATGTGAGACAGAACATAAAATATGATTTTTAAAATTTAATTCATCTCTGCACCCAACGTGGGACTGGAACCCATGATATTGAGAACAAGAGTCATGTGCTCCTCTGACGGAGTCAGCCTGGGGCCCCTAAAATAAAATTTTTACCAGTAATCATATTCAGCCTAACCACACAGAGATGGAGCTTTTAGAATCAAAAGCCATCTATGTACATACCACAGTGCTTCCATTATTCATGTTGTGAATGTCCCTGTGGGGATGGGCACAGAAGTCTAGGCAAGCAGTGACCCCAGAGAAAGGACGACCCTCTTTGCTGCCAAGCCGACATTCTCGGGCAACATGTTCATATTCTACCTAAAAAAGAAATGTATGACACACAGTTGTGAGAGACAGGAAGAATCACCTTCAGTAAAGAATAAAAGTCACTTCCTGACAAGGCTTTTACACTAATGACACATTGCAATTTCAGATATTTATGACCATAGTGCGTTAAAGTAGTGGATGTGTAGCTCAGAAACATTCAGGAGGAAGAGTCTGATAGTACACAAAGTAAAATGCAAATCCCTGGCTGTGACTGATGGTAGGATGATAAAAATACCTGCTGCTGGTGAATAAACAAGCAGAGCAAGCCTAATTTATTCCATTAGGAAGAGAGACGAACATAGTGCATTAATTATGTGGGAAGAGTCCTCAAGGTCTATAAATATACATGTATTCATAAACCAGTATAAAAAATGAATTTATAACTATTTTATTTTATTGTTATTATTATTAATTTTTTAAAGTAGGCTTCAGGCAGGGCTCCAACTTAAGACCCTGAGATCAAGAGTCAGACGCTTAAGCGACTGAACCACCCATGTGTCCCTATAACTCTTTTTAAAATGAAAAGTTGAATTTAACAGAAAGGATGTTATTCATGACAATACAAATAAAGATTTAAGAAATATAGACCATAGGTCTCTGGTTATATTTAAGATAAAAAGACATTGGTGTGCCTGGGTAAATACACACAATGAAATGCTATTGAGCCTTAAAATGGAATGAAATTCTATGGTGCCTGGGTGGCTCAGTCAGTTAAGCATCTAACTTTGGTTCAGGGCATGATCTCACGGTTTGTGGGTTCAAGCCCCGCGTAGGGCTCTGTGCTGACAGCTTGGAGCCTGGAGCTTGCTTTGGATTCTGTGTCTCCCTCTCTCTCTCTGCCCTTCCCCAACTCTCTCTCTCGGTTCCTGAGTTTGAGCCCTGCATTGGGCTCTCTGCTGTCAGTGCAGAGCACACTTTGGATCCTCTCTCTGCACCTCCCCCATTCTCGCAGACTCTGTCAAAAGTAAACAAACTTTTAAAAGATATTTACACGTATTTTCCACCTTGTGATGACTGCACACATGTGTGTATTGCAAAAGGATTGCCACAGGAAGGTTAGGTAACATCTCAATCCCTTAACACTATGAGGTTTATTTTGTGTGTGTAGTGATAATTGAAGATCTCTTAAAAACTTGTAAATATATAATATAGTATTGTTAATTAAATTATAGCCTCAATGCTGTGCAATAGATGCCCAGATTGTATTTATCTTATAGCTAGCTGGAAGTTTGTACCCTCTGATCAACTCCCTGCTTCCCTCAACCCTCATTTCTTTTCTTTTATTTTTTTAAATTTATTTATTTTGAGAGAGAGGGAGAGAGAGAGAGAGGGAGAGAGAGAGAAAGGGGGAGAGAGAGGGGGAGAGAGAGAGAGAGAGAGAGAGAGAATGATTGGGAGAGAGGCAGAGAGAGAAAGGGAGAGAGAGAATCCCAAGCAAGCTCCATGCCTGTAGCACAGAGCCCAACATGGGGCTCGAACCACAAACTGGGAGATCGTGACCTAAGCCAATATCAAGAGTCAGACATTCAACTAGCTTAGCCACCCAGGTGCTCCTCCTTTAATTTGTGGATGATGTCCTTTGAAGCACAAAATTTTTAAATTTTGAATTTCTTTCAGTTGTCCTTAATAGAACCTTCAGCAAAGTGTTTAATAGAAATGGTGAGAGTAGATATTCTTTTTTTTTTTTTTAAGTTTATTTCTTTATTTTGCAGAGGGTGGGAGGCAGAGACAAAATTCCAAGCAGGCTCCACACTGTCAGCCCACCTCAGGGCTCAATCACAAAAACCATGAGGTCATGACCTGAGCCGAAGTTAAGAATCAGAGGATCAACTGACTAAGCAACTCAGGCACCCTGAGAGTAGATATTCTTGTCTTGTTCCACATATAAAGCAAAAAATGTTTTAGTCTTTTATCATGATTATGATATTAGCTGTGGGTTGTTATAGATGTCCTGTATCAGGTTGAGCCAATTCACTTCTATTTCTATTTTGATGACTGTTTTAATCATGAAAGTGTTAGCTTTTGTCAAATGTCTTTATACAGAGAGATTATGTGGTTTTTGTCATTTGTTCTATTAATATATTCAGTATACTGGACTGATGAATTTTCTTGTGTAGAATCAATCATGCATTTCTGCTTTTATAAATTATATTTCTAGAAATAACCAGAATTCTGTCACTCTGGAATTTTAATTTAATTCAACTGTCATAACAGGAAGTTTTTAAAGACAGATAAATATACATATTTTTTTAATTAAAAAAATAGAAAAAAGTTTTTCTTTACAGTAATCTCTACACCCAATGTGGGGCTTGAACTCACAACCCTGAGATCAAGAGCCACATGTTCTGCCATCTGAGCCAGCTAGGCACCCCCAGGCTAGATAATTTTTGAAGTTGTTCTATAAAGATAGATAACCATGTTCAAGAGTACTGCATCTGGTCCCCAAACATACCTGGTTTTGGTAAGCAACTGGAGCATACTGCTTATAAATTGGAGCTAATCGTGTAGCCAAACTCTGTAAATTATCTTCAAGGTTTTTTTCCTATAGGAAAAGACAGTCCATAAAAGTTGTTTCATAATGACATACAAGTTTTAGGTGTGTGAAAAAGAGTCATAAATCATTGCTGATGTGTGGTTGATGCACAATTCATACTTACCCTAATAAAAGAGATACCACAGAAAATAAAATGGGTTGTTTTTTTATAAAATTGAAAGCCTTAGTCGTTGTTATGGTTTAACTATGTTGTAAGTGAGTTAGAAATGTAAATGGTGTTAGAGATAAGGTGTAAAACTGCTCACGTTGCTAAATATAAATACAAGAACCGTATTTTATATTTATTTAGCAGTACTGGGCACTTAAATCAAGTAGGACTGTAAGGAGCCTTGACACCATATCAAGAATCTGGATTGCTACTGATGGAAGAAACATGGAAGACTTTTCAAAGGAGAACAGTCTTTAACAAGAGTCTCCATTAAAAATGTCACTGATGACAGTATGAGGTATCCAACACAAAAGGAGAATTTGGAAACAATAGTTGAAAGAGCACTGTGATAATTTTTCAGAGAGGATTGTATTCTAAATCAAATCAAAGACTTGATAAATGATCAATCACATCCAAGGAAGACTATGGAAGGGAAACTGAGAGCAAGGATGAAAGGAAGAATTAAGGAGGCTCAAGGCTTCTGCTTCATTTCAGATATGATGGATGCCAAGAACACAGAAAGACCTTCATGTGGATACGTATCAGATTATAAAAGCCAAAGCCACACACAGTATAGACATAGGAAGTTAATTCTTTTTCTTTTCTTTTTTTAAAGTAGGCTCCACAACCAGCATGGAGCCCAATGTGGGTTTTGAACTCACGACCCTGAGATGAAGACCTGAGCTGCAATCAAGAGTCAGACACGTAAACGACTGAGCCACCCACCTGCCCCAGGAAGTTAATTCTTGGGTGCCTTTAACAAACCCCAATTTGAGCAACTGAAAAGCATCAGTGGTAATAACCTTTTTTGTTTCCTACTGATTAGGTTGATTCTTTCACTGAAAAAGAAATTTATCTATTTGGCATATATTTAAATTACTCTGTTCCTTTCATCTGTTTTCATGTTTGTGAAACTTAATATAGCTTAATAAATATCGTCAGGAAAGTCAGGACCCTCCTTTAAAAAACTTCCTGACTATACTCACCCATTAATTATTTCATTTATTTGAAGAAAACTTCACAATTGTGATTTAAGTACCTATTGAAAATATTTTGATTATGTTTTGTAACACCTGAAATATTAAGTGGAGTAATTGTGTTTTACTACTGGTAGATAATGAATTCACAAAGAGTATCAGAAGTTAGACTGAGTATATGGTCATCAGGAAATATTTATTGTGTGGAAATGTTGAAATAAATTAGGCCCACAGAAATTAAATAAAGCTTATATAGGTGACCATTACAAATGTAAGTCTCATTATTCATAATGTAAGGATCTTGACACTCTGTTTCATTAAAACAAATGTGTTTGTCAGATATAGAGGTTTCTTCATATCAGGTCCTAACATGTCAGGGCTCAAGCCTATATTCCTCTTCTCTTTTCATCCTAAACCTGATCTCTAGGACTGTCATATCCACATCTGTGGTTATAATTACTATCTGGACAAGAAATCACACTTGAGCTTCAGATTGTTATTATTGACCTGACATTCCCACTTGGATTTACCATAGAAATCTCTCACCCAGTGGTTCCAAACTGAATTCATAATCTGCCTTTTTGAAACCTTATGTCAAGAAATAGCACTACCATCTGATTATGAAAACCTTTCCAGACTACCACTATCCACTATGTCCTCTGTCACAACCAATTCCAAGTTACTATTATCCCTTCTCTGGACTATTCTTTTTTTCTTTTTTTTAAATGTTTATTTATTTCTGAGAGAGAGAGAGAGAGAGAGTGTGTGAAAGGAGGAGGGGCAGAAAGAGAGGGAGACACAGAATCCGAAGCCAACTCCAGGCTCTGAGCTGTCAGCACAGAGCCTGATGTAGGGATTGAACTCACAAACCGCAAGACCATGACCTCAGCCCAAAGTTGGAAGCTTAACTGACTGAGCCTCCCAGGTGCACTTGGACTATTTATTCTTAAAGCTAGCTCAACTTGCTAAACACACTCTTCAACAATTTTAATACATTATTCAAAGAGCAGCTAAAGAGACCCCTTTGAAAGACAAGGGTAGTTGTACCACTATTCTCATTAAAACCCTTCAATGATTTTCCAAAATGTTTGACATATAAGGCCACTGCATTCACCTTACTCTCTCTTGCCTGCTGAGCTTCATACTGGCCTTCTGTCAGTTCCTGGAATGAGAAATGCTTCTTCCTGTATTATAAGCACTATATAGATATTACTCATTATTTATAAAGACCATAGAAAAAGATCATGATTCATATAATATTATTATGTTGTAGAATAAAAATGTAACACTCATGTCAATACTCTGATGTATTTATACACAGGCAGTTTCATCATAAGATATTTGTAAAGAAAAGTGATTAATTTTAAGGGAGAATGGACATCACATTATCAAGTGTTCTTATGTTTGAACATAGCACCTTTCCATGATCAGGTATAGTCTTTAGTAAGTTTTATCATTTTCTCCCTAGAGGTCTAATACACTTCTTCGATTTTTAAATGTAAGCTCTACTCCCAATGGGGCTTCAACTCATGACCCTAAGATCTAGAGTTGCACACTCTTGAGACTGAGCCAGCCAGGTGCCCCTAACATACTTATTAGATTTCTTCTAAGGTATTTTATCTGTAAATGATAGTTCTCTCACTAAAATCATTTACATGTTTTATTGCAACAGACAGGAACTCTAAAAAATGCTAAATAATTCCACTTACCTCTTTAAAGGGATCATTATTAATTCTGAGGTTCTTGGAAAGATGATATATTCACCTTATTATGGCTATAATTGAGAATCATTCCTGCTGTTGTATTTTGTGTTTCCTATTTATCTTGTATTCTAATGACTTTTAAAAATCCTTTTGCTGATTTATGTATAGGTTGTCTTCCTTAGAAAGATTTTTTCCCCACACTACTTTAAAATGCAAAAATTCTATTTAAATTCATCTAAAAAATTTTTAAACATATGCTTTCTTAAATATATGTTTTTCTGACAAATTCTAGAGCAGTGTTTTCCAAGCTGTGGGTCATGACTCAGTAGAGGGCTATGAAGTCAATTTAGTAAGTCACATCTAACAAAGAACAATGAAATTTTATAAAAAGTATTGTAGTGAATACCAGTGATCCTTTGCTATAATTAAATTAGATATTAAGTTTTTAATATTTTAATATCTTCTCTAACATATAAGATGAAGTATTATTTACTGAAGGTTTTGTTTTAATTATTTACTTGCATATATCTATTGTATAGCAGTTTATAATATAAAATGTTTTTTATTCTTGGTCACAGCTCAAAGTTTGAAAAACACTGATCTTAGAGTTAATTGGTATCTAAATCATCTCCACTCCAAACAAAGCATAAAACATCACCACATTTAGTTCCTGTAGGTGCCCCACCCCCTCCCAGTGCCTACCCACCCTTGAGCTGGTAAGAGTATGGAATTATACTTATCGGTTGTTATTTTAATTTAAAAAAATGTAAGTACTCAACTTATTTAAACTTAACAGTAAGGTTGACTAATTTCTTTGCTCACCATGGCCTCGTGTCCCGGACAGATTGGTTCCGGTTTCATATATCTTCTTTCTGGATTACGTCCTTTAGTAATTCTTTCATAGTAGTTCTGTGGGTAGTAAACTTTCTGAGTCTTTGAAATGTTGGCAAATGGTTTTATTTATTTTTCCTACTTTGGCTGGGTATAAAATTCTAGGTTCTTTGAACAATTATTGTCTCTGGGGTTTGGGGAGAAGGAGGAGGGAGCCAGGGACAGTGGTAATTTGGGCTCAGAGATGAAGACTTTACCTAATTTATTGAGAATTTTCAACTATTTACATATATATATTCTTACTGTTTTTTCCACTACTTCTAAAATATTTAATTGTTTTACTATTTAAAAAACATTTTAAGGAATGTACTTATAAACTCATTGTGAAATTTAAAAGTAAAAAAGGGCACTTACGTGTAAGGGAGAGCTTGGATCAATTCTAAATCTTCTAGGGCTTGGGCTTCTACCAAATTTACATCCATTGAAATACATACTCCAGGAACAACCAAAAGAGAAGGAAGCTCCACAAGTCTCTGGATCAATTCCTTGACATGTACAGGTACGACTGTAAGATGATAATTGCAAGGGAATGAACTGATAAAGCGGGCCAATACCTCAGAAAGAACATTTCAGATTCCTATAATTTTAGAAGTATAGATGACTAATGAATTGATTTTGACACATCTATTTTATTACTGATTTTACCTTAAGTATAGTGTTGACAACCCAAAGCTAAATGCCCTTGAATATAGGCCAATTTTTAACTAAAATGTTTGCTCACGATTGGAAATCCAAATAAATAGCAATAAACTATACAGAAATATACATATGGATATGTCCAAGGAGAGGAAATAAAGAATCTAGATTTTAATCCTGGATCTGTTCCCTATCAGATGTGAAAATTAGAGTATCTCATTAGCTCTTTGGACTTTAGCTCCTTCATCTATAAACTGACATTGATATAATTCTCTGAGGATTGACAGTGGATAAGATATTTTGCATGTGAGATCACTCTCAATTTTAATGAAGGTCTTTATTAGGGCGCCTGGGTGGCTCAGTTGGTTAAGCATTGGACTCTTGATTTCGGCTAAGGTCATTATCTTGCAGTTTGTGAGTTCAAGCCCCATGTCGGGCTCACTGCTGTCAGTCTGTCAGTGCAGTACCTGCTTCAGATCCTCTGTCCCCTCTTCTCTGCCCTTCCTCCACTCGCATTCTCTCTCTCAAAAAATAAATAAAATATTAAAAAAAAAAACCATTAAAAAGTCTTCATTAAGGTTATAAATGAAAAAATTGAACTGAAAGTAATTTGGTTGTTTTATCACATTGGGGGCATTTCTGAGGTCCTAACAGACCCAATAGTAAGGATGGCAGTGATTACAATATTCATACAAAGATATGAAACCAAGGGGTAAAAAGCACTCTTTGGTTTCTAATTGCATAATCCTCAAAACTTGAATAGTATGTGCATAGTTCTTACGTAATGATAAAAAATACAAACAAAAACCCATATTTTAAAAAGTCAATGAAAAGAATATAGAAATGTAAAGTTTGAAACTATTATTAGTATTTTTAAATTGTAAACATCAGGGAAATGTCTAATACGTAAGGTAACACTGAATATGATAAGAAAGTATACAAAAAGTATCATTTAAGATCCTAGAAGGGGAGGAATCGTCTAAGTACCCCTAAATCTTCTTACCAAGATGGAAGATATATTGTAAAATGACAAAATGTTACAACAACTTGAAAAGGAAGAAAAAGGGTATGCAAATGGGATTAAATTTGAAATTACAGAAGGACATTAACGTTGCCAAATAGAAAAATAAATAACACATTTATGTCATTGAAATGACACATGGAAAGGAAAGAAAATTGTAGTTTCACTGAAAGTTGACAGTTATTTAAACAATTAAAAACACAGGAAATGTAGAAGTTCATGAGACTTACAAGAGCTTTTGCAAACAGTCAATATCACTGATCATAGGACAAATGAAATGAAAGTAGGTCCTTATCTTATGGACTAAATATGATAGTCCTGCCAATAATTTCTCAATTGAATTACATTAGCAAGCAGCAATCAAACTCAAACTGAGCAATTGTCTATAAAATTAGGACCAAAGCAAAAATGTGCTATTGGGACCTCCTCAAAATAAAAGGCTTCTGCACAGCAAAGAAACAATCAGGAAAACTAAAAGGCAACCGACAGAATGGGAGAAGATATTTGCAAACAACATATCACATAAAGGGTTAGTATCCCAAATCTATGAAGAACTTATCAAAAATCAACCAAAAAAGAAATAATCCAGTGAAGAAATGGGCAAAAGACATGAATAGACACTTCTCCAAGAAGACATCCAGATGACCAAGTGACATGAAAAAATGCTCAACATCACTCATCACCAGGGGAAAATACAAATCAAAACCACCATGAGATATCACCTCACCCCAGTCAGAATGGCTAACATTAACAACTCAGGCAACAACAGATGTTGGCGAGGATGTGGAGAAAGAGGATCTCTTTTGCACTGCTGGTGGGAATGCAAACTGGTGCAGCCATTCTGGAAAACAGGATGGAGGTTCCTCAAAAAATTAAACATAGAACTACTCTACAATCCAGCAATTGCATTACTATAGGTATTTATCCAAAGGATACAGGTGTGCTGTTTTGAAGAGACACATGCACCCCAGTGTTTACAGCAGCACTATCAACAATAGCCAAGTATGGAAAGA